AAAAAAAATTAAAAGACCTTCTAATCAGGTTCAGGTTCATTCTGTCAATTTCAAAAGGTCATGTGCTTAAGTTATCAACACAAAGTTGTTAACACACACAAAGTCAAAGGGAGAGAGTCATCTATTCGCACAAGATGGTCTCTTCTTTGTAAGTGAAACAAAAACAATTTGCACAGTGCTTTTAAAGCAAAGAAATGAACTAGAATTCTAATCTCACTGAGGAGAAAAATTACAGATGTTAGAATCATTGATAACACAGCTGGCAACTGTGGAATTGCCTGCAAACTTGGATTAAAAATTGCCACTCTATACTTCTCAAGAATACTTTTTTTTCAGGCCAAACAGTGGGTGGGGAGAGGAAGATTGGAGGCTAATACCTTAGAGCACATTCAATACTCACATCTGCCAGTACGTTGAGGCATCTAGAGGCAATTAGATATTCCTGAGGCTACCCACCCACTAAAACACATACACACCAACCAAGGGACTAGGTGAGCCAGGCATTTTACATTCTCTCTTTTTTTAACCCCATCCATTCACATTCATAATGCCATGAGTATACATGGGAAAGATGCTAACTGAATAGCTCTTAGGTAATCTCCCTCTAAAAATTATAATTGTACCACCAATGTCAACTCCCAATTTGGGAGTCACTTGGCAAAGAAGCATTTTTTCCTGGACATAAAACAGTTCATGATAATCACTGTCTCTTCCATGTTCTTCATAAGTAACCAAGCAAGATGAACAGACTCAGACACAAGTCCGTTGTCAAGCACCAAAACAATAAGGCTGCTCATTTATTGCCACATTTCTCAGTAGTCATTTGTACATGGACTCCTTTCAGAAAACTAGTAAGTACATACAGAGAGAACCTAACAATATATTCCTGCATTTATTTTTCATTTGTTTGAGTACAGTCATCATAGCTTTTGAATTAATATACAATGCTGCCAAAGTTTACAAATGAACAATGGCAAGAGTATATGGCATAATTCTAGGTTTGTGCTTTGAAAAGATGTAAGAGTATTGTTTTATTTTTCTTAAACAATCACTTTTCCTTTAATATGTTTTCTCACCAGCAATTGCAGTTATTGGCACAGCTTTAAACTTCACAGAAACATCTGCAAATGCTCCTCCTGTTCTAGTCACATTGATAATGGGTCCAATGTGATTTTCTGCTACTCGAACAATTGATGCTGAAAGCTGAAGTGTTCCAAATGCATCATCATTGGCAATGATAATTAGATGAGCAATAGTCTCAATCTTCATTCCAAGGCGTGGAGAATTTGATACTGAAAGACATTTAAAAAAAAAAAAAAACAGTTAAAAAACTATTACAAAGGGACTTCAAAAAAGTTATGGAAAATTCCATTATCTTTTAGTTCCTTTTTCCATAAACTTTTGAAGCCCCCTCATATATCAAATTATGAAACTGGCAAAAGTTATCAACAAGCTTCAGCAAGATCCTATTAAAAATAAGGCCATCATTCTATGGTTTCTCTGTACTATTTTGATTCTTAAAATATTTACTGAACCTAGTTTTTTTAAGAAATAGAAAACATAATTACAAATACAAGAAACAAATTAGATAACTGGAGCCTCATAAAATTAAATACTTATGCACATATGGTATTCTATGCAAGATCACAGAAGAATCAATGCATTTGAATTATGATGTTTGAGAAGAATGGAATGCGAAGGTTGGGAGCAAAGAGGAAGGATCAGTAGTTGGAAAATATGGCTGGAGAATGCATGATAGAATTCTACAAAATCAATGATCCATTCATATTAAATACCTTCTTAGGACAGCATAAGAGACAACTATATACATGGACCTTACCAGATAGAATACATGGAAATCAAATTGACTAATCTGCGGAAACAGAAAATGGAAAAGCTCCAAATCATCAGTGAAAACAAGGCCAGGGGCAGACTGTGGAACAGACCACCAATTACTCACATGCAAATTCAAATTGAAGCCGAAGAAAATGAAAACAAACCCACTAGAGCAAAAATATGACCTTGAATATATCCCACATAAATTTAGAGAGCTTCTGAAAAACAGATTTGATACATTAAACACTAAAGACCGAACACCAGAAGAGTTGTGGGACAACATCAAGAATATCATATATGAAGAAAGCAAAAAGTCATTGAGAAGACAAGAAAGAAGGAAAAGGTCAAAATGGATGTCAGAAGAGACACTGAAACATCTCTCCAGTGTAGAGATGCTAAAGCAATTGGAAGAAATGAGGAGGCCCAAGAGTTGAACAGAAAATCTCAAAGATCAGCTAGAGAAGATAAAGCCAAATACTAGAACAAAATGTGTAAAGATCTGGAATCAGAAAACCAAAAAGGAAAAACACACTCAACATTTCTCAAGCTGGGGAAACTGAAGGAAAAAAATTCAAGCCTTGACTTTTTCATTATTGAAAGATTCTTTGGGCAAATTATTGAATGATGAAGAAAGCATCAAGAGAAGATGGAAGGAATACACAGAGTCACTGTACAAAAAGGAACTGGTTAATGTTTAACTGTTTCAAGAGGTTACATATGATGAAGAGCCAATGATACCAAAGAAGGAAGTCCAAGGTGAATTGAAGGAATTGACAAAGAACAAGGCAGCAGGAATTGATGGAATAAAAATTGAAATCTTCTAAGAAAGTGAGGCAGCACAGGAGGCACTCACTCAGCTATGCCAAGAAAGTTGGAAGACAACTATCTGGCTGACTTATTGGAAGAGATCCGTATTTGTGCCCATTCCAAAGAGAGGTGACCCAACAGAATGCGGAAATCATGGAACAATCTCTTTGCTATCCCATGCAAGTAAAGTTTTACTAAAGGTAATACAGAAACGGCTGCAAGCATACATTGACAGAGAACTTCCAGAGGTTCAAGCCAGATTCGGAAGAGGCCATGGAAAGGGGGATATCATTGCTGATGTCCGATGGATCTTGACT